TCTCTGTGTGTAAAAAAGTTTTCCAGCTGTGCGGAAATGCAATCTACTGTCCAACCCTTAATATTCACTGTGGTTTTATGCTGTTCAAACTCTGAGCCTGGCTCTGTTCTATTTGAACTGAAAGTTCCTTTATTAAGGATTTGTCCACTGCTTCCTCTCTCTGCAGTACGAAAGTGCAGAAGTGGGGAGGAAAACAAGTTCTTGGTTGATTCAGTTTCACACAATTAACTGTATACCTTTGACTCCTGTCTCTTGACTAGTTTGGTTAAAGTTGGCCTATAAAACATGGCCTGCAACTAGTTCCTTCCAACAGAGAGAAGTAATGGCACAGGTACACACTTTTGGTCCAGTGCAGTACTAGAGGTTTATTTTCTCTGCTGGATTTACAGAAGCTGTAGTTGCATTTCACCCTCTTCTCTCCCACTCATAGCACTGGGATGCAAAAGGAGAGGCTGCCACTGGGAAAAATCTCTTTATATGTTTCTATCAGTGAATATCAGGCTTCATTTTTCCAGTCCTTCTGATATCAGACAATGGAGATGCAGGGAATGGAAATGAAATCTGATGCTCAAAATTGAAGGAAAATTGACAGCTCACCCTCAAAGATCTGAAGACACCTGTTGTGATAAAGCTTTTGTTTGCTCTTAAAGGACAAATAGGGAAAGGTTAGGCCAGGGAATATGTCCAAGGTCTCAGCTGGTCACAAACAGCAGCAATCTAACACATGTGGACTGAGAACAGATCTACCACTGAAGATAACTTACATTTATGGGCAAATCACCTTTGTGATGGTATGGAAAAGGCAAGTCATTGCTCTTGTGTGAAGCTTTGGTCTGCAGGACAATGATCAATTCATACCATTGATGAGATTGTTATGAGACGAAAATGCACATAGGATTTATCTAAGCGATTTCTCACAGATCCATGGAGCATGAAATTCACAGCTGGAGGCATGAAAACGACCTTTCATCAGGACAGCACAGTGTTGCACGTGGCTGTTAGAGAGGACCCTGCAAGAGACACAGAACAGAAGTGAGATTGAGAGAAAATGCTGAAGTTGTCTCCTGGAGGCAAGAAAGAAAAAACATTTGATTGTGAAGGGTGTAGCCCAGAGGAAACAAAAGAACCCAACCTCCAAAAGGCAGCTGTTAGAAAATAAAATATACACTAAAGAACCACCTTCCCGCTACTACCAAGTAATTTTGCCATTGTGGAACCTAAATCAGAATGAAACATAGACATGATGCCTTGCAGTGGCAGTGATATCCACCAGCATGAGAATGGCAGTGCTGAGTGTTTCATGGAAAGATGATCACCTCCAAGGAGTTTGTAAGAATGGAAAGCTGGATTTAAGCAGGGAACTAAATCGAGTGCCTAGAGTACTGACCTCCTGACAGTGAGATCTTGGGTGAGTTTCCTTGCTGGAGAGGCATTAGAAACTAACTGATTGTCTTAACTGCCATAAAAAGGAAAGGCCAGGCAAAGTCAATGGACCAAACCATAAATGTTTTCCCTCATGCAAAATGCTGAGTTTTGTCTAAGTAGAGACTGAGTTGAAATTAAGGTTCTGATGTGGGTTGGCACCAGTGCAGCAGCAAAGGGCAGAGTCCTCACACCCACTGACACCAGCACTTGACAGAATTGGTGCAAGGTGGCTAACCCCAGTAAAGCCATATGCCTTTCTGACCGAGCATCTGTGTGGGTGGTACAGGTAAATAAAATCCTTTGTTTGAGCAGCTGGAGGGAAGTAGGGAGTGCAATACTAATATTAGACCTGGTTTTCACAGGTACCTGCCTTTACAAGGTGCAGGGCAGTAAAAAGCAGACCATGTTGAGCTTAGTGCAGTACAGGTGACAGGAAGAAGAAAATCTGCCCAGGAAGAAAGGTCCTGAGATCTGGAGTAGGAACTCTGGGTATTATGGAACACCAGGCAATCTGAATTAGCACTGTTGTTTTTAAAATAGAATGAAACTCACTTGGTGTAATTGGATATGGAGCCATCTTCCCAAATCCATCCAGAGCTTGTGCTGTTCCTCAGTCCAATCCAGAAACATTCTGTTTGAATACGCTTGAACAGATCCTAGAAATGATGATGAATTACCAAGTGACTAATGACTAATGAAAGCCAAGCAGAGAATGGAGGTCAGGATAAGTAGAGAGAACAGAAAGCAAGATACATCCCTTTGCCTGATTGTTCCTTAAGTGGTTGACAATATGCTTACCCACACCTTCTATTCAGGAAGATCAGCCTTGCAAATCATACCTGGAATAAAAACTATGTGTACATTCACAAGGAAGTAAGCATGCTTTCAGCGTCCTGGGGAGATTCTTCAAAGGACATTTCTCAGGGCAATATATATGAAACAACTGCTGTCAAATATGCAAGTTGAATATGAGTGCCCTGGCAGCCAGGAGAGCCAACCGCATCCTGGGGGGCATCAGGCAAAGCATCGCCAGCCAGTCGGGAGGGAGGTCATTGTTCCGCTCTGCTCTTCCTGGAGCAGCCTCACCTTGAGTCACGTGTGCAGTTTTGGGCATTGAAATATAAGAAGGTCATTAAGCTATTAGAGACATGTAGAGGAGGGCCATAAGGTTGTTGAAGGGTCTGGAGAGGAAGCCATATGAGGAGCAGCTGAGGTCACTTGGTTTGTTCAGCCTGAATGAGACTGATGGGAGACCTCATTGCAGCCTTCAACATCCTCACGAGGGGAAGTGGAGGGGATGGTACAGATCTTTTTGCTCTCATGACCAGTGACAGGACTCAAGGAAAAGGCATGAAGTTGAGTAGGGGGAGGTTTAGGTTAGATATCAGGAAAAGGTTTTTCACCCAAAGCATGGTTGGGCACTGGAACAGGCTCCCCAGGGAAGTGATCACAGCACCAAGCCTGTCTGAGTTCAAGAAGTCTCTGGACAGTGCTCTCAAGCACATGGTGTGATTCTTGGGGCTGTCCTGTGCAGAGCCAGGAGCTGGACTCAATGATCCTGATGGATCCCTTTCAACTCAGCATATTCTATGATTCTATGAACTGCACCCCAATCTCCTGGAGATTCCTACACACTTTATGTAGGAATGTTTGCTATTAGAATTAATATTAACACTCTACCATGGAGCTAGTTAGCAAGCTAATACAAAGTATTAACAATTACAGGTAAAATCAGGGCAGAGCAGGAAGTGCAGGCACTGACAGATGCGTAACAAACCCAGGAACAAAGCTCTTCAAATTTTATACAAACATTCCTCTTACTTTTTTGCAATGTTCATTTCCTTTTGGCTAAATTTTAACTCTTGTTTATTGTTAAAAGGTGAAGCCTGCAACAGAAACTTAGCCCTGAAGTAAATCCCCTGTCCCTCCCTTCCCTCCAAAAAAAATAAAAGACAAAGCCAGGAGAGATAAGTTTTTCTTGTCCACCTTTGCAATGAAACCAAAGAACAGCAACCTTTCAGTTGTATGGCTGGGCTCCATCCTTATCTCCTGCTGCCATAACAAAGCTTCAGAGAAGACATGTTCACAGAGAAGCATTAACAAAGCTAGCTTGGTAAAGTCGTGGGAATAGGAGCAGCTTGAGGAACTACTTGAGTGTTGCTGGTGGTTTGGAGGTGACCACGCTTCCCTGGCACACAGAGGTTGAGCAATCATAGTCCTTGCAGCATAAGGCATGGATAGCTAGGAAAGTCTCACTTAGATGGATAAGTCTGAGCAGGGATAATGGGTAACACTCAAGCAGCAGAGATGGTAGTAAGGGAGGCTTTTTTATGCAGAAAAATGGGTAACCTGGGGAAGATGCCTACTTCTTAAGGAGTCTGGATTTGTCTAAGCAAATGTGAAAGCCTGGTACATACTCCTAGTCAAGTAGAGACCTGGCTTTTTAAGCCCCCACAGAACATCATACAATGCAACTTCTGTCCAGGGACTGGAAGCTGTCCACGTTCATTGGACCCAAGCTAATAAGCCCTGGCTTGCGCAAAACCAGATCAAGGCTTCTGCTCTACTTAAGCAGATGTGCCTCAGTGCCCCAGCAATCAGCACTACCCCTTTCTTTAGTGACCATACATGCCCTGCCCGCGGTGGGCACCTGCAGAGGAACAGCTGGTTCCTCCTTTCATCAGCACAACTGAGGTATTTTGGCAGAGACGGGAAGTAAGCACTGAAAACAGATTGAGAAAGAAATATCCATGCATGAACACGGGGAATGGGATGGGTCACTGAGCAGGAGGAGCTGGAGCAGTTGCAGGGAGGAGAAGCACAGCTTTTGAAAAGGAAGCATTCCTTGAGAGTGGGGACATAGTACTGGTTTGTGAGCGATGAGTACGTGACTGCCTAGTGTCACAGTCATTTCCTGTAATCACTCAATCAGCCTTATTGAGGATAGGAGGGGAGGTGGAGAGGAGCAGTGGAAAAGGTTGTCTCCTAACATTCTTCATAGGATGATTCTGAGTAGCTGACAGTGACCCTCATGTCTCCCTTCTCCCCTTTGCTTCTATGCTTCCTGCAAACTTCTAAGGTGTACACTGAAAATGGCAGTGCACTGTAACATCAATTATAAGTCCTTCCTCTCATTAAAGCCAAAATATTGCTGAAGTGACAACACTGCTTGGATGTCAATCACTTAGTATCTGCAAGGAAATGGGAGATCCTCAAAGACTAAGAAAATCATTACCATTTCCCGGGTATCACTGATGACCAGGAGGTGAGCTCCCTGTGACCAGCAGGATACCTGGCTGGAATTCCAGTCCTTCTCCTCCTTGGAGAAGGAGTAGCAGCTCCCTCTGTAGGCCACCCACTCTTCAGGGCAGTGTGGGTAGGAGTCATCTGTAAAAGAAGTCAAAATATTGGCTTTTCTCTATCATTAACCAACAGAAATACATTTGTCAGCAAGGACCTACTGTAAAGTAACTCTTCTGGACAGTTGCAATGCAGAAAACACAAGCATCTGAAAATAACAATGCACAAACACAGATTCTCTGTGCAATTTCCAAATCTTCTTACAACAGTCATATGCACTCTAATGCTGGTGCAAGCATACGCTT